GACGACCAGCACTTGGAAGCCGTCTACAACTTGGACGCCGACATCGACGTCGACGTCGACGTCCACCTCCAAGCACACATCTTCATCTTCTACACACAGCTCCAGTTCCTCGAGCTCGTCAACCTCGACGAAGACCACTTCTACTTCGTCCCAGTCCACGTCGTCGACTGTACCAACTCCAGATCCCACGTCCAATCTCCTGCTGCTCAATGAAGCATTCATTAATTTGGGCAACCTCATCGCTGCTGGAGCTGCAGCGAATGCCTGAGTCGGGGGTTTCACTACCCCAATCAACAAAAGGCGAACCTTTGGCTTGCAGGAGAGATAGATGATAAGCATTCTGTATTTTAAGCTTCCCAAGTCAAGTAGCATTCACGTCCGTCGGAATGTAGCAGATACTTAATGACTGTAATTTTGGATGTATTCATTATGCCTCCTCTACTGACTCTACTCGTGCCTAGAAAAAAAGAAAGAAATAAATAAAGAATTATTCATATTGTGTTAGCAAGTGAAGCGATAGAAAAACGAACCTTGTTCTCATCTAGACCCCCAAGTTCAGTGACCAGTCCACCATATGGATATTCGCGGCGGGCGGCGGGCGGGTCCTGGAGGAGGACATATCTAACTAACAAGCCAAAGCTCACGAAAGCGGAGGCAGCGATAACGAAATGGCTGAGGGCCGTAGAAGGAGCAAGGCCATTGGGGGGAATGTCGGGTCCCCACATGGAGAGCAGTTCATCACGCTCGTGTAGCTGCAAGTCGACAGAGTAAGCATGTAATCTTGCACTGAAAAAATATGGCGCACTGTGTCTCCAAAGTTGCGTCGCATCAATGGGTCCTGCCATCCCCGGGGTGAGGCGTATTGTCTAGAGACATCTGGGAGTTGAGGATAGCCGTCGAGCTGAGGATCAGCCTCCCGGGCAGATGTAGAAGCAGCCCGTGAAAATGATGGGCGAATTGAGCGTAAAGCTGAGAGGCGTTTCGACGAGGTCAGCGCCGCCCGACGAAGTGCGAGAGCGGCAGTCATGATGAGGACAAGCTGGGCAGCAAGGACGGAGTTGTTCGCAGCTTTCCAAAGTCACGTGATAAAGTCGGTAGTGTCCGAACTTTGGCGTCCAATGGCAAGTACGAAGTTCGTAAAGCAAATGTAACTGTTTTTCAGTCGCAACACGGAGGATAAGGGGCTCTTGTGATTGTTACAATTTATTTACAGATATAGGTACATTTCCTTGATACAATATATAATGAAAGTACAAAAAAACAAAGGGGAGTAACTTCAAGATTGGCGGTACGACGCATCAAGGAGAGATAACTGGTTGGGTTAAAGGTTAAATGAGGTCAAAAATTCCAGCAAAGGACAAGACAAGAAAAGAGAGTTAAATGAAAGCTCCTCAGTGATAGCACTGAACCAATAGGACTTGGAGGCCGCTTTCCTTCACCCATCCCAAAGGCGCCTTATTCTGCTTCTTGCGGATATCCTTAATCAGCGCAGTACGACTGGGGTGCATGATACGTTGCACCGCCGCAGGTCCCTGATCCCGCACGGCGAGGTACTCCCTGATATTCAGGAAAGCACGGGACTTCAAGTAGGCTTTGGCAGCCGTGAGCGAGGTGGGGAGGGACGATGGCGCAAGGCCGAGTTCAATGATAAGGGCCTGCAGGAGGGTGAGGCGGCACATAGAATTACTACGTGCGTCGGGGTTGGAAAGGAACCTAAGCGATGGCAATTAGGTAGACAATACACGTCTTGGTCAAAGATACGTACGACGAAATGAAGCCAAAGGCCTCTTCATACATCGAGGGCGAGCCAACGTCGCTCTCACCATAGTCAGAGAACTTGTCGGATACGTCGTCGACGATAGACCGGCCACCGAGGCCAACATGCCCCCCTTTCTTAGTCTTCTTAGATTTCCCCTCTATTTGCTTCTCTGAAGAGACAGAAGATGTCGGAGAAGCAGGTTGAGAGCGCATAGAGCGAGGGGACATCGACGAGGGTGTCAACGAGGGTTTAGCAGCGGAAGGTTTCCCAATAGGTGGCACCGCGCCCTTCTTTGATTTCTTTGATTTCTTTTTCTTTTTCTTCTTTTCTCCACCTGGAACGGCGGCGGCTTTGGGCACCTTTGTTTTACGCTTGCCATGCCCAACAGAAGCGTCTTTAACGCTGAGATTCGCAAGACCTTTGGTGAGATCTGCAATCCCTGGGGTACCCGCCTTATTCTGTTCCTGCTCCTCGGGCGTAGAAGGCTCTGTCTCTAGAATGCTAGCCTGAGATTTCGGAGGGCTCAGTACGACAAAGCCATCGTCCGATGCTGAGTCGTACTCGTTGGGAGACTCTGGCGCGGACAAAAAGGAGTCAGACTCCGAGACCGTGTAGATAATCTCGTCGTCAGAGTGGTCAGAGTCATCTAAATGGTGGGAGTCGGCTGAGGTCTGCTTTGATAGCATAACGAATGTAGAAGAGTCAGAACACGTTGAGGAAGCAAGGGAATGAGAATTAGGGGTGGCCATGATACCAGTCGCCGGATCAGCAGTCAAAGCAGGTACTTGATGGGACGCCTGAAGACGTTGGAGACGGAGAGATGGCAACAATCGCCCACAAGTGAGGGGGAAGGCTGAGAGATGGTGGTCGAAGAGAAAGACGGACCTCGTTGCATGAAGAATGTCGGAAGCATGTTTAAGGAGTTCTAGATTACGACTAAATTTAGACTCAGTACAAAAAGTTATCAGATTGCAAGTACAAAATACATTTTATACTCTACACTTCAGGACACAATCTTCCAATAAACTGCACTGTTTTCTGGGCCCACAACTGCGCACTGCTCTACTTGCACATTCCGTTTCCACACCTTACCATGTAAATCCAGCACCTGCTTGGCCTTGCGTCGGTGCAGCATAAAGTGTCCACCTTCTGGAGTCACGAGTGTTGTTGGAACAGCAAGGCTCGACTTCTTTCCGTTCCCCAACTCAGACTCATAATTTTTTCCCCATACTACAAGGTCGCGCCCTCCGACCCCCGTCGTGGAACCAGTGTTAAGTGTAAGTAATACGTGCCCAGTTGGCGAAATAGTCACAGCATCCGGTGCAATAGGTTGGAGGCTCTGCGTCTTGTCGCTATCTGCAAACGAAAATTCATTGGAATGACGTGGTGACATATAAAGGAGACAGCACTTGCATTCGAGCAAACCACTAACATTCTTGGCACGTAGTGGGGTCCCTTGTGAGGTGCTGAACGTATTGCTGCCCAAACCACCCCATTGACCATTGCCACAAATGAGCAGGTCAATAGTGGTCGGAGAGGATTTATCAGTAATCTCCACAACGAATGCTGTTAGGTCTCCTCCTATAATCAAAACAAAACATGAATATTCAATAAGGGGTGATGGCGATAATGTACGAAAGACATGCCTGCTGCGATATCCAAACATGTAGTGTTTCCACGAGTGGCGGACGATTTCCACAAGACAACCTCAGTCGGGACAGTAATAGTATCCAACGCGACGTTGCTACCTAGACCCGTTTGCCTAAAGGCTAATAAGCATCATATAAAAAAAAGAATAAGCATACAACAGACCCGAAATCATTAGCACCCCATCCAAGGACTCTGCCATCGAGAGTACGTGCGAAACTGGTCCTGGCTCCAGCAGTCAGCTGTGCCATTTCGATCTCCTTCAAAGCAGGAATTTCGAAGAAGTTGGTGCAAAATCTGATGCTCGAATCATCGATTCCAAAGAGATTTTCAGATGTTGTGGGGGCAGGGTTAGGGCGTACGGAGCGGGTGGAGTTGATAAAAGGATCAGCGAGTGATTTTGGAATGAGTTCTACATCGAGGTGGCCATTCGTGGGGGAATGATGGTGAATAGCAGGATTAGGTATCTTGAATTTGCGGAAGCCAAGCTGGCCGAAGGCATTGGCTTTCTTGTCTACGGGGTGGGCAAAGGCTCGTCCTTTAGATGTTAATGCAAGAAGGTGATGGTCTCCTGCATCTATTGAAACAATCCTGATAATTCGAGAGTCAGGCTGTTGTATAAATCGGAGAAAAGATCGATTACTTTTCACCCCAAGCAAGATGTTCGTTGGGTACAATTTCAACGAAATCGACTGTCTCATCTTCGCCCCAAAACCACCCCGTACCCCACCAAGAATCGCTGGACGGAGTGGGTGAACCGGGGCGAAGTTTCTGCTTGGCAGAATCAGTGGATAGCGCATAAACCTTCCCTGAAGCCGACAGCGCAAACAGCTTGCCCTCAGTGAGTTTCAGCTGGGTGATGTTCTATACACAAGTTCTCAGCAACTGATTGTTATGATGTCATGACAAAAAAATACCTTTTCCCTCAATGTGAGGATGGGCTTTCCCTTTTCAGTGTGCTCGCTCGCAAAGCCGTCGCCCCATTGATAAACGTCTCCTTTGGAGTCGACACACGCTGCACTATCCTTATGAATAACGAGATCCCGGAGTGCTACGCCATTCAACCATTTGGCAGCAGAAGGTGACCGGATAGAATCTGACGGCTCCATAGTAAGTGTATTTGACCTGTCCATAATCAACTGCAATGCCTAAGCAATGTGCACGTATTACAAACTTGTTCGAGCCCCAGACAACTGTGCGCAGGTCCTCCGACTCTGCCACGTCGGCGCCTAAAATCAGTCCAGGCTGTTTTTCCATAACATTTGCCATTGCAATTGGTGCAGCAGCATCGTTGTAAATGGGCCGGCTGTTTGCATACCAGAGAATGGATGCAGCGACGGCACTAGAGGTAATGATGAGTCCAGGATGAGCGCGGAGATGCTCGCGAGCTGTGCGGGCGGAAGAAGAGGCTTTAGAATGGATCCTGCGAAGGTTAGGACGAAGAACAGTCCCTGCACGCTTGAACATGGTGGTCAAGTGAAACAAGCTCTGAGACAGAGTCCAAGCGCGTCGCGATCACGTGCGAGCTGCATCTCTTCCGCAAAAAACTATCATCCCCATGGCCAAAAGAGAAAAAGTTTGCCGTAACTCGGCCCTCTTTGCCTGGGAGTCGAACCCAGCTTTCGCGCGGTACAACGACCATGACAGGCGCGTGTACTAACCGATATACTAGCAAAGACGATATCAGGTGCTCCATCGTAACACAGGCTACACGTTTTTTCCCTCATATATGGAGTTCAACTCGAGACAATAGAATACTGACATTCCCAAGATCTTCATACAGAAGTATCTAAACTCTTATCCGACTGAAAAAATGTCGGGCTTTCTGGGACGAAATTTGTCTGCCCTTGTCGAGGATGTGGGCAGTCCTCACTAGTTTTAGAGTTCTAACGAAACCAGCCAGTCGTTTGAGCTAAGTGAGGCTTCTTCAATGAGCTTCCCTAATGATTGTTATGGGGTCCAAGATTGAAGAAGCAATTAGTCGCTGAAAGTTTCACAGATTTCCATTGAAGATGGAAACACATATTAAGATATGCATGGCCAGTTGCAAGTAATATATGTTCAAACCCTCCTTACTTTTCTATCCCGTATGACTATAGAATCGTAGGACGGTCGAAGGAGAATGAGACACCCACGTCCTATAGACTAGAATTTCAAAACGAAATTCACTTTTGAAGGTGTGGGTCAATCCAGACAGCCTATTAACATAAACATAGATGAGAAACGCATACAATGTTCGCCGTTGAGACACTCACTTGAATCGTAATACTCTCCTCTCCATCCTTCTCAACAGTTCGTTGCTCCGTACCACTCTGGACGCTAGGGCTACTAACAAAGCGCGCCAGACTTTCAAGTTTTGCTGCATCAATACCAAACTGCTTCGCAAGCCGTTCTACATCCTGTGGAGACCGCGCAGCTTTCCGTTTGTCAAGAAGGTCACTAAGCGTCGTTGAGTGCAGACGATTATGCACAGGTGATGTCGAAGAAGCCTCGTGTTCAGATTCAGCACTAGACTGGAAAAGTTGAGTCGTTTCTTTCGCCGTCGCTGATGCCGACTATGCAAAAATTCAGTTGCACGACAAGATAGCAGGGGAAATTCGACATGCCGGTCGAAGTTGCGGCATATTGTGATCAACGCGTACTGGACCCAATCTATTGAGGGACGCTATGAAATCTGGATCCTGTGCATCCCTTTCAATTTCTAGAGAGACTTTAGTTAGAAAAATGGAAATATGACGCAGGCGTACCGCGAGTTCTGCTTTCGCTCGCACGTATATCACGAAGGGGTTTATCGGGAGTTCGATGAGATGGATGAGTACGAACGCCAGCCCATGAAGGCGTTTCAGTGCGTTTAGGAAGCTTGCGACCAACCTTGGATGCGGCACCTCCCATCGTTGAAGTGCTTACGTCATAGTCTTCACCAACTTTTGAACTTCAAAACAGGATTCATCTCGCTGAAGAAGTCAAGATTCAACCAAATTTTGTATCCCAAGTACATAGATATACTCTGTTCAACTAGAATAAATTACCACGACGGCAGAATTGTATCGAGCTGTCTATATTTTTCAGGGCCTTCAGGCAGCCGTCCTTTGTTGTACAGTAAAACAGAAGGGAGAAAAGTAAGAGTAAGATGTAGTAAGTACTAGCACTTTTGGCAAATAACAAGCGAATGCAACAACACCGCACAAATACCGTATGCGTGTCGGTATCGGCGCCCCGAATTTTGTTTCAAAGGAATGTGTGGAGGCATGTACACCGCATTGCGGAGGAGTTGTAGAGGGTGGGGACGGGTATAAAGAGTTCTGGGGATTCAGACGTATTGATCCAAATGAGAAACCAAGCGTACGAAGACATCTGTCGAAAGATGGAGGAACCAAGCAAGGAGCGTGATGCATAGAAAGAAAGCCGAGAATGATGAAATTCGTTAAAGGTCGTCAGAAGCATTTACGCGTGGAACGTCCCCATGTTCGGAGGGTTTGGCTGATATGCGGGGTACATATATGGTTGGTAGACCTGAGGGTGTGGGGCGGATTGCATTGGCTGGGGCGCAATAGGTCCATAAGAAGGCTGAGGAGCAGGCATTCCAATGAGACCTGGGGACTGGGCACCGTACGAGTTGGTCGGAGTAATCGTTCCATTCGATGGCGGAAGTCCTGGAGCGCGGCGAACACTAGCAGAGCGCGTCGCATTAACATCAGGAGAACGCATGGCGAAGGGGTTGAAAGGATCAGAAGAGGGCGAGAAGGCTGTGGCTGAGCCTGGGTTACGCCTTTGGGGCGCAGGATTATTGTACACCGGGTCGATTTGAAGTGGCTGAGAGTGACCAGCCTGAGGGTTCTGGCCACCCATTTGAAGAGTCGCCATCATCGAAGCGAGACCTTGATCGCTCGTAGGATACCCAGGTGACAATCCAGGAACACCAAAGGCGCCCTGAGCAGTCTTTGGCTTGCCATTCTGCGTGACATTCGTGTAGGTGGGCTGGAAGTTGGGAACGGGGAGACCAACTTCTTCAATGAGCCGACGATAAGCCTGGGTCGCGATGACCTTGAGCTCAATGAGTACGCGCTTGGTAGCTTCGATGTACTCGGGCTTTTGTACGGGGTCAAGGAAGGGACTCGTCAAAATTTTATGGACAACGGCGACACCATTAACTTGATCCCCAAGAACGTCCGTGAGGACATGGTCTGCTGGCGACGAGAACAAAGACTCGACGATCTGGCGGGAAGCATCCGGTTCAATTTTCTGGTTGACGATACGAAGAACGGTCAAAGACGCCAATTTGTGAGTGCACAAATGGGAGAGGTGAGGCGTGAAGCGCGGAGCCAGCAAGTTGTATCGGGATGGGAAACCCGACGTGTCGAGGAGCCAGGTCAGCAAGAGTGCACCGTTAGGGTTCGTCGCCAATGGGATCGAATTAAGGATGACAGCGGTTGCGATACGACGTTGCTGGCTGATAGTAATATGAGGACTCTCAAGGCAAGCCCTCATACTGCGAGCACCAAAGCGACCCTGTGCAACTTCCCACATACGATCGACAATTGCGTCGAAAATGAAGTCGTTGGCCGGAGCACCGAAACGCAGGCAGCATCTGAAACACAGGCGTCAGTTGAATGAAAGCACATGAATGTGAAGATGTGACATACTGGACGACATAGTTGCCAAACTGGTCCAGAAGCAAAGGAGGCGTATACGCTCTGAGATTCTGAGCGATTAACGCTACCTCGTCCTGATTCGTGACACATTCGATAATCTTTTGAGCCGCCCATGTGCCATTTTTGTGGATGCCAATCATGGCAAGGTGAGGAACAATGCGCTCCAACATCAGGAACCTCGGGCTAGGAGAACACTTTTCGAAAAGTTTTTGAACGACCTGTAACCGACATTGAGTATAATACAGTCGAACGAGTGATTAAAACGTACCGTGTTTCCAAGCCAGTCGGATGCAAGGTCCACAATTTCACCTTCGATAAAGTCGGCAACGACCTGATCAATCTCCTCCACAGTCATAGTCCCAGAATCCAAACGCTTGCGAAGCTCGCGCAACTTCGAGGCGTCCCAGCGTCTGTTGTGAGGGCGTTCAGACACGAGAGGAATCGTGGTATAGTACATAGTCGGAGGGCGGAAGTCTGAAAAGCAATAAGAAACTGTTTGCCAAGTCATTACAAAGTACTCACCTGCCAAAGCCTGGATGTCCGCTTCCGCATCGGTGGCTCCTACACTGAGTTCCCTCATGATCATCTGTTGCTCTGTGACAGACGGTGCCCAGCTCGCTGATTTAGGCAGTCCTTCATTGAGATACGGTCCCGAATGTGCTCCAGATCCGACCATGCTCAAGAGAAGATTGGACCTATAATTCTCGACAGCACCGCCTAGAACTTGCTGATCGGCCGGGATGGTAGACGCTCCCTTGACTGAGCGCAGCGCATGGATAGTTGCTCCGACGCTGAGGTTGCCGACGCCCTGAACTACAACGTTCGCATTTTCTTCGGGGCCACCTGCACCCTCCTGTCCGTTCTTGACGGGCACCTTCGCAAATCCGATGCGAATCGCTCCAACGTCACTGCCAAGAACATCACGGCCATTGAGAGCTTTGCGTGCTCTGACAGCATCATCCAGCCGCTCGAAGTTAACTGTTAAAATAGTACCGTAAGATGTCACGCTAAGATCCTAAAAGTATGACGGAAAATATACGCACTGAATCCGCAATTCTTGTGAGTTAAAACCCTCGCAGATTCGATGGGGCCGTAAGGGCTGAATACGCTCAAAATGGTGGCAGGCGTGGTGGTGGAAGGAATCGATCCTATCCAAAGAGCTCTAGTGGGAGTAGACTGTAGTTGAGCATCCATCGAGCCGAGGCCGGCATTGGAGCTAGAAGTCTTCCCAGCAGAGCCAGGTCCGGGAGGAGATGCAGGTCCCGGACTGGTCGGAGTTCCTTTGGCCGGGGCAACAGGGGCACTGTCCGCCTTTCCAAAGCCGATGCGAACCGTCTGACCATTAGGCATGCCGATATCGCCACCAAGTCTGTTGAGGACATCTTCCTTGGCACGAATAGCATCCGCCTGGTCCACAAAATTGACGAAGCCGCATTCCTAAAAAGCATAAAGTTAGTTGCGTGTCGCGTCTTGGGCAATTGATACTTTACCTTCTCCGGAAGGAGTCTGAGACTCTCAATTGCGCCGTAGGGCGCAAAGTGACGTATGAGCTGTTCGCTCGTGACAGCGCTGTCAAGGTTCCCGATCCAGAGCGAGCGGGTGGGAGTCTGAGTCTGAGACGAAGTTTGTTCAGATTTAGGGGAAAGGGAGCGATTTTGAGAGGAGGGGGCAATCAGATATGCTGAAGTTCCGCGTCCGGGAGTGACGGTGTCTCCACCTGGGAAATGAACGGTCGGAGCAGCACCAGCCCGAGGTGCTGCCACGGTTTTCAAAATTCCCGTTCCACTGTTGAGACCAGAGGTCAGATCACTGATGAAGGGAAGGGTATCGGCAGCAGTGGTAGCACGGCGCTGGATAGGACGAATGGAATCGTCAAGGTTGCCAACAGAGGTAGCCCTAGGTCTAGCAGCCAAATGGTCGGTCGCCTTGAAGCCTTTTGCCATGTAAGCAGATGAGGCATAACCGCCTTCAAGATTGGAAGTTTCGTAAGAATTGAGGCGTTGGCGAGTGTAATCGTGATCGTCAT